GGATGGACAAGGCAAAACTTACTGAGGGAAAGGTCTGTGTTCTGCAATTGTGCTACATAGTTTTGATTTAAATACAATTATTTTAGGACCACCTGATTGATGCCTTTCTAGTAGCCTTTGGCCTTGTCTTGCCTGTGCCTAGGAGGCATCGTTTCTTCCTGTAGAGCCCAAAAAGTCCTTGGGCTTCCCTGTACTGGGAGTTCAAATTCCTTTGTGGATTTCCTCTTTTTCAGTAGAACATTGTTCACAACTGCATATTTCCTTTTTAATTACTTTTATTTGTGTATGAGTGTTGTACCTGCATGTATGTAAGTTTACCCGTGTCATGCAATGCCCATGGAGGTCGGAAGAGGGCATTGGATCCCCTGGAACTGGAGTTACTGACAGTTGTTAGCCACCATGTGGGTGCTGGGAACCAAACCTGGGTCCTCTGCAAAAGTAACTGGTGCTCTTAACCACTGAGCCATGTCTCCAGTCCCAACAATACAACTGTGTTTTTCTCTGTGTGTATGGTGGGGGTGCACTCACCTGTGTGCACTTACGTGGAGGTCAGAGGTCAATGTCAGATGAGTTCCTCAATTGTCCTCCATCTTATTTTTTGAGACAAGGTCTCTCACTGAACCCAGAGCTCACTGATTGGCTAAGCTACCAGGACAGAGAGCCCCAAGGGTCCTCCTATCTCTGCCCCTACCCAGTGCCAGCTTTTTTGCATGGGTGCTGGGGATCTAAGTTCAGGTCCTCATACTTGTGTGGTATTTTACTGACTGCCCCACCCCTACCCCCCAGCCCCATAGCTGTCTCTATTTCTGGAAACTGTTCTGGTTTAGTTGTGTCCATGTTAGTAGCTTTTGCATTTTTGTACTTTTGTGATCAATATCACAATGAAAAGAATCCTTTTCCTGGCTTTTCATCTCCTGCCTGCCTTCAGCTGTAATCCTGGGAGGTTTGCCTTGCTGTCTTTTATTTTAGCTGTCCTTTTCCTGTCCTTACCCTGCCTGTGAGCTTAATATACATGTAACACGGAGTCAAGATTATAGCTTCTGCTGAGCACACAGATCACATCCTGACAGTGGAGACTAGCCAGGTGAGCCACAGAATCACAGCTATTACAAGTCTGCCACAGAGCTGAAGCCACCACGTAGCATACTGGGCTGCAACCAAACCAGAGGCAGGCTGCTCTCAGAGGACAGGACCCTCTCGGGGAGCAGGCCCCTCTCATGGACAGGCTTCTCTCAGGGGACAGGCCCCTCTCAGAGGACAGGCCCCTCTCGGGGAGTAGGCCCCTCTCCAGGAGCAGTCCCCCGTCAGGGAGCCAGGCCCTCTCAGGGCACAGGACCCTCTCATGGACAGATGCTCTTCTGGAGACAGGCCTCTGTCTGCCTGTTTGGTATGTTTGGTAGAGCAGCAGGAAGAAAAGAACATCAGACTAGACGGGAGCAGAGGACTCGTCCAAGGCTGAGCCTGGGCTGGGTGACAGGTCTGAATTCCTGGGGGCCCAGACAAAGGGGAATCTACACACACATTCCATTTCTGGAGACTGTCAAGGTGCGCACTCGATAGACTGGGTGCCAGGTGAGGATACCAAGAGAGCAGCTGCCCACCCCCCCAGGCCCTGAGTGCCAGGTGGCAGTGCCCTCTGATAGGTGCTGGGAAGACCAGAAGTGAGCAGGATCCTATGTTCATGGGCTTTCTGCCCAGTGAAGAAGCCAAATAAAACACAGAGCTAAAAGTGCTGTGGCCAAAATGACTCAGGGTGGGGGAGTAGGGAGTATGGGAAGCGGGGCTTGAGGGAAGGCCTTGGTGTTGGCTGGAGATCTGAGAAGGCCTCACAGGAAGTGACTGTGAGCACAGTCCCAAGCAGTGGCCATGTGTCTTCAGCAGGCCGATGTCCAGGAAGAGGGGCAGGGAGCACACTGGAGTGTACCAGGAAGTCCATGGATGGGGCTGCAGAGAGGCTGGAACATGTAGCCGAGGGCCCCAGGGGAAACTCAGGCCTTGGGGTTGAAGGGCTAAGTGCGGCTTTTATAGCTGTGTTTTCAATGAGGGCTCAGAGTTTAGAAAAGAACCCCGACAACAGATTTTGCTTCTTACATTTGAGCCGGGCTTGGGCCACTGTGCAAGCGCCGCACCATCTCCCACTCCACACATGCATACGGTGACCTGGACACCAAGGCTGACCGTATGTAATGCTATTGACACAGCATGGCTGAAGGGAGAGTTTCACTCAAGGTAGTTTTCATTGTGTTAAAGTTAAGGAGAAAGGGAGATATTAAGGGCTAGGGAGGTGGCTCCGTTGGTAAAGCACCTGCCATGCAAGCATGAGGACCTCAGATCGGATCCCCAGAACCCACATAAGAAACTGGGCACAGTGATGCTGTGCCTGTAACCCCAGCACTGGGGCAGAAACAGGCAGATTCCTGAAACTCACGGCCAGCCTAGCCAAATTGCCAGCCTAGCCAAATCCATGAGCTTCAGGTTCAGGGAAAGACCCTGTCTCAATAAATAAATAAATAAATAAATAAATAAATACCCGGGTATGGTGACACTCACCTTTAATTCCAGCACTAAGAGGCAGAGGCAGGTGAATCTGTGAGATTGAGACCAGCCTGGTTTACATAGCAAGTTCCAGATCAGCTGGGGCTACAGAGAGGCCCTACCTCAAAACAACCAACCAACCAAGCAAATAAATAAATCCAGGAAAGATATCCAGCATCTACCTCTGGCCTCTGTACACCCGCATACACACAGCTACAAGAACAAGTATATACATCCCATATAGTGCACGTGCGAATGCACACACACATTTTTTAAAAAGAAGATATTAGGACTATACCTGCTTAGTTTTTTAACGTAAACAATTGTGCTTTGGGGAGCATTTGAGGAAGATGATAAGATCAATATTCCTTGCGGCTATCATTTTATTTCTTCTGTCTCATTTCATATCACAGGAGAGAGTCGGGAAAGTGGGGCAATGCCAGGGAAACAGCACCTCTCTCCCAGGCTGAGATTCAAGTAGTGGCTTATACCCCTGCTGTCCTCTGTCTGTTTTGTGTTGCTCTAATCCAGCCTCTGGATCATGGGGCACCCTTGACCTACTTATCTTTCAGCGATCTCAGCACCACTGCATTGGACTCAGCATCCAGTGAATGGACCTAAAGGTCTAATCACAGCAGCATCTCTGCTCTGTCTCCCCACCAGTGGCTATCCTGCCTGTCCCTCACCTAGAGGTGACTCAGTGGGAAGAAGTGGCCCCAAAGCAACAGCCTCCTCTCCTTTTTCATCTGGTGACATCCCCCTGCCCCCGGAAGTTTTGCTTGTGTAAATTTTGCCCTAGAAGTGACCTTGGTTCATCTGAGCACTTTCCTTCAACCCTTTGGGGCTTGGCTTTCAGGTGTGCAGTTGCAGATGGTCTCTGTCTGCTGAGTGGTAGGCACCCAGGATGGCTGGGCTCAGCAGCGGCATCCTCATATCTCCTATGTGAAAGCTTCTGTCTCGGACTCAGAAGAGTCACCACCCAGGAGTTGTGCTTGACCCGCAAGGTCTTTCTGCTAATGTTGAAATTTTAATTAGCATACGTAGTATTAGGTTTCATTATGGCATTTTCAAACAAAATTTGTTTTTATTGATAGTCCCCTCCCTTCCCCCTCCCCCCTCCCCTCTTGTGCCTCTCCATCCCCACGGCCTCTTTTCTTCTCTCATGCCACCTGTGTGTTGTTGCCCTCTTCCCCACATCATCTCTCATGGTCTCCTTTCCAGTTCCATACCCTGTACCCACGCTTACCCCACTTACGCACATGCATACAGACATTGAAGGCTGGGATCCCTATATGAAAGAGCACATGTGATGCTTGGCTTGCTGAGAATGGGTCACCTCACTTAATATGATATTTTCCAGATCCATCCATTTTCCTGCACACTTCATAATTTCATTTTTCTTTACAGCTGCATAAAATGCCATTGTGCATGTACCACATTTTCAGCATCTATTCTTCTGTTGATGGGCATCTAGGCTGGTTCCTTATCCTTGCTATCGTGGCTAGAGCAGCAATAAACGTGGATGTGCAAGCATCTGTCAGGGGAATTGGACCTGCTCATTTTAAAATAGTTCCTTAAGGGGCTGGAGAGATGGCTCAGCGGTTGAGAGCACTGACTCCTCTTGCAGAGGATCCGGGTTTGATTTCCAGAACCCACATGGCAGCTAGAACCGTCCTTAACTCCAGTTCCAGGGGAATTCAAAGCCCTCTTCTGACGTCTGCAGCATTGCATGACACAGGTGCACTCACATACATGTAGGCAATACACTCATACACATAAAATAAAAATAATAATAATAAATAAAATATTTTTTAAAAATTTCCTTAAGTCTGTCAGAGAGTATAGGAAAGAAAAACCTTTTTACATATTCACCAGGGCCATTCTTACCTAGATTAACCAAAGTCCCTCCCCCAGCCCATATTTACTCTCCTTAAAAGCACAACTTTGGTGAAAAACAGGGCTGCAATCTCATGCACTTAGTTTTGAGCGTTTCCATTTCTGCATGGTCCTTTTGCAATGAAATCAGCCCTTTTCCCTTATCAGTGTGTATTGTCCGCACAGTGTTGCAGTGGATGAGATGAAACATGCCAGGTGCCCTTCAAAACCTGCTATGGGGTCTGGGGAGATGACTCAGTGGGTAAAGCATTTGCAGTGTATGAGGACTGGAGTTCAGAGCCTCTTGGACCCACATAAAAGCCAGGTGGGCAGGGAGGCTGCCTATAATCCCAGAGTGGGAGGTGGAGGCAGGGCCTCTCCAGAGCAAGCTGGCTAGCAAAACTACAAACCAGCTCTGGGTTCGGTGAGAGCCCTGCCTCACATGTAAGGTAGAGAGCAACTGAGGAAAACCAATGCATGAACATGTACACATATGTGCTCACACACATTCAGACATATACACATACATGCACACATATCACATACATATATACATGCAAATAAATACTGTTTTTGGTTTATTTTCACAGCAAACCCAAGGAGCCTTCATTCAGTGCAGGTAAGTTCTGGTCTCATCTTGCAGGAAGGGGAGGTGGCTAATAAATTGGATCTTGACTAATGTGAAAATACAAAGTAGTGACCTCAGTGCCTGCCCATGGTGCCCAGAGAGCAGCTCTGCTGTTTGTGAGCACCAGGTAGTCACTGGCAGCTCAGATAACAGTAAAAATGCTCAGTAAACAGTCATATAGACCAGATCCCTACCTGCCCCTCCTCAGACCCACGTAGAACAAAGTAAGTGCTGGAGTAGAATGCGGCACCATGCTGCGCCCAAACTTCCACAGGAAAGATGCCCTTTGCCTCGAAGCCCTTTCCCTGCTTTCTCACCTCCTATGTACTTCTAAAGGAAAATTTTCTCCTCCATCAAGTTCTATAACTTTGTTTGAAATAGTTGCTCTTTTTCTGCCTGTGGTTTCCTAAACTGCAAACTAATACTTCCTAGATACCTTTCCACGTAGCTCTTTAACTTCATCTTTATAGGGCAGTGTATAACTGGTTAAATTCATCTGGTTTTAAGTTTCCCAGTTTTTCCCCTTATATTCAAAATTAAGATATAAACACCGTTCTGTATTTAGCAGCCTGTGCGTTAGTATTCATTTCATGTCCCTGAAATGTCCCCTTGTCCCTGGAGGGCAGGGTAGCACCCCAGCAGACAGGCCACCACACTCGCAGTATCCACCATCTCTTTGTCTAGCCCTTCAGTCTCCGAAATCCCAAGGGAAGCGCCGGGTGACACACTGCAAAGGTAGGCGGCACTTCCCAGCTCTCTGTGCAAGGCTGCTTCCCCGGCTCGAGACCGTTTTCATACAGGCAGAGCCCTCCTCGTATGAAGATGTTTCTGCCATCTGGCCTACATTAAAAGCACCCCTGAGTGTTCACTTGGATGGACTTTAACACACGGCTGTGGTTTGGATCATGACCAAATTGGCTAATTCTAGGAATTCTTAAAGACTCTGAAGAGAGCTAGAGGGTGTCCCCTGGATGTCCACTGTTTGGCATGAATTCCTGCACTGCTGGCCTCTCCCCACTAGCACCTTTGAGTTGGGTGATTGTGTGTTGTGCTCCTAACATGTCTGAAAACAGCATTGCCCTCCCTTGCTGTACTGTATTTTAGATGTGGAACCATCAAGTTATAGTCTGCAATAGCGTAAGGCCTAGTCAGCAATTTAGATCGGTGCAGTAAATAAGCCTCAGCCCTGGGGATTCTTTACCAGAGTATGACAACTGCATACTCCAGTAGACTGTCCAAACACACTGTCTTTACCCATGATGGGCTCCCCATGTTTTGTGGAAATACCCTTATATAAATGGTACTCCTTGCCTGTACTCTGAGCACCCTGGCAGAGTTGATTCACGTCTTACAAAGAGAGTTGATAGATTAGAAAAGGAAGAAGTTCAGAAGAGAACAGGTGTAGCTGAGATTCAAAGGGAAGATAGGGCATAAAGTACCAGGAGACCCTTCTGACCAGAGAGGAGAGCCCTTGTGGGGTGGTTGTAGCAGACGAGATCAGATGAGCCCAGCAGGCCAGTTAGGACTGCAGGACCTGGAGATGAGCAGGTGAAGGACATTGTAAGGATGAAGCATCAGATGGATCCCAGGCTGGGACCTTGAGGTTTGGCAGCTGTACACAGGGTGACTCAAGGGAGCACTAAGTCTGCAGCGATGGCAACCGTAGACGGACTGGTCCCAGTGCAGCCAGGGAGGACAGTACCCATGCAGAGATCATCCCAACGCTTAGCGGGTACAGTGTATGTAGGGATGAGTACCTTCATGGTTCTTACTTCAAAGTCAAGCTTCATTAAGCATAGAGTCAAGAGTGTGGCACGTGCATCGAGACCCAATGCGCACACGCATGATAACAGATGCTGCTGCATGTGGCCTTGTTTGAAAATCCTTAGGAATTAGACTTACAAAACCAATTGCAATGATAGTATTTACAGTACTGTGATTACATCATGACTTTTCCTCACCAGTTTCTTCTCTAAGGTGATTCTCTGGTGAGTTTGGTGTAGATGTTGCTACTGGTTGCCCTTGCCCAGTTTTGATACCATTGATTCTGGGTTTTTCAATCTGCAGGAGCAGCTGAATGGACAGTCTTGACTCTGAACTTACCAGGAGCTCATGAGACACAGTCTTTATTCTTGTTAGAGCTTCAAACTCTAGGCAGAACACCCTAAGCTGGTTTGTTTTTAAGGCACAGAGGTTGCCCTACTTTGACCCTATAGTTTATTAAAATATCAAAAGTTCTTTTAATAGAAAAATTCATTCTAGAAAACTCTGCCTCCTGATTGATAGTCTCCCCCCAGCCCTTGTGTTGGGCCTTCTTTCCATTTCTGTCTTCTCGCTAAGTGTTTTCTTTTTAATGCGTCCTTGCGTGTATCCCACTGATTAACATTCTTTGCATTTGAGAAAATTGTCCAATGTACAAGATGCGTGAAGATACGTTTTTTTTTTCAGTCTGATGAAATTGATTTGGATATTGAAAGATATTTCATAAATTTTGATAATGAGATTGTAGATACATTGGACTCAATAAAAGAAGTGGATTTCTGGAGTTATTTGTAATTCTTCATGGTACATTTTCCTCTCCTAATGATGAAGTGTGCACGCTAAGATATCATAGGAAGTGACAGTTGGAACCAGCCTCATGCCTTTCACGATTTCTTAAGTGAGAAGACTGTCAAAAATAATGATGTGAACTTTTGTTTCAAGGCATTTGATTTTGTGTGTTAGCTCCCCCCCTCCCCAGAACACTAACTGAGGACGGAAGGGTAGAAAGGTCACCACTTGTGTGACACAGGCTAGTGACGCTGACATTTGTTTTCAGGCCCACTGGATGCTGAAGTGTCTTGCTGACATCTTTGTTCTTTTTGTAGAAGAAGGCTATGTAAAAATGTTCCTTCGTGGACGTCCTGTCACCATGTACATGCCCAAAGATCAAGTGGATTCTTACAATTTGGAAACAAAAGTAGAACTGCCAAGCAAGCGACTGAAGCTGGAATGGGTGTATCCTTTATCCTGTACCAGGGCCTCATGCCAGGCTGCCAGTGCACAAGTGGCTGGAGTCTAGTGGTAAATCTCACAAAAGTGAAATGAAATATGTTACTGTTACTTTTTAAAAATATTTTATTTATTATTTTTATTTTATGTGTATGTGTATATTGCCTGCATGTTGGTAAGTGCACCCGTGTCGTGCAATGCCTGCAGAGGACAAAGAGGCTGTCAGATCCCCTGGAACTGGAGTTATGGACAGTTTGCACCCGTGTCGTGCAATACCTGCAGAGGTCAGAAGAGGCTGTTGGATCCCCTGGGACTGGAGTTACAGACAGTTGTGAGCTGCCATGTGGGTGCTGGGATTTGAACCCAGGTCTTCTGCAAGAACAACCAGTGTTCTTAACTGCTGAGCCATCTCTCCAGCCCCATACCTTCATCTTTTTAAAAAATTTGTTTTTATGTGTATAAGTGTTTTGCCTCCATGTAGGTACATGCACCGGTGTGTGCAATGCCCAAGGTGGCCAGAAGAGGGCATCAGATCCCATGGAACTGGAGTTACAAACCATTGTTAGCTACCATGTGGGTACTGAGAATTGAACCTGGGTTCTCTGCTAGAGCAGCCAGTGCTCTTAACCACTGAGCAATCTCTCCAATCCCACCCATCATCTTGAAGATAAAATATTGCAATGTTGGGGCCTGGGGAGATGGCTCAGTGGTTAAGAACACTGACTGCCCTTGTAGAAGACCTGGGTTCAAATTCCAGCACCCACATGGCAGCCAACATCCATCCAAATCTCCAGTTCCAGGGGACCTGACTGCCTCTTCTGTCCTCCACTCTTCAGGCACTGTATGACACGGGCACACGTACATATACATGCAAACACAACACTCATACACATAAAATATGTATGTAGCCCAGGCTTTAACTCACAGCAGTCTTTCTGCCTCAGCCTCCTCCTGAGTATTGGGGTTACAGGTAGGAGCCACTATGCCTAGCAAGAGTAGAGTATTTGTTTACAAAACTATCATAGCTTTCCATCTCCAGATGGAAAGGCCAAGAGCTTTACATTGTCATAGTGAGAGGAAAAAGCAAGCTTACAAATGAAAAAAATAGTAGTACCAAAAGCTAAACTAAGCCATGTTGGCAATAAGTTTTTAAACCCAAAGAAAGTAGGGTACTCTGAAAGGAAGGACTAGCACTTTCCCTTTAAACCAAGCAGGAACTTGGCCAACCTTCTGAACCCAGGTTCAAGGTCACCATTGAATGACTAAAGAGGTAGTAGAAGAAAATGAATGCCCAGAGCTAAATGGAAATTGTGAGAGAGCCAGAAAAGTAAGTTGAAGTGGGATAGGTATGCAAACTGCTTTAAAGAAAAGGAAAATTACACCAAAATGTAGGTCAACAAAACCTGAACCTACTGACCAAGAGACATTCTTGAAACCAAGCTGCCAGAGGCTCCACAGTAAAAAGTTTAGAAATGTGAGGTTCTGATGAAAACAGCTGGAAGTCAAGAAGACAGCTGGGGAAAGGAACGAGGTGATTTGTTAGCCCATCTGATTCAGTGTATTCATGCTTATGTAGACGAAGGCCTAAGGGCACCTTTCAGTCTGTGAAGATCTTACCCCCAAATATAGACTGAGTGCCTGCCACTTGTTGCTCAGTGTCAGGCACTGAAGACAAATCCCAAGATGTTGATTTAGATTGAAGCCGGCAAAATGTCATCGACAAGAGTTAGTATTTGAGGTTATGAAGTCATATCTTGGAAATAATTTTAAAAGCTATCACGTACCAAAATTACACTTTTTCTTCTGGTTTTTCCGATTGATGTGTCATAGGTGTTTACTTGCACCTGCTCTGGAATCTGTTATGGCACATGTAACCGAAAGGATTCAGCTCTTCTGTACATCAAGTTTGTTAAATCCAATCTGGAAAATATCATTCAGGGAATATTTCCCATTTGTAATTAGAAGACATGAAACAGTAAAACTTGCTCCAAATGAATGTGGGGTTTTTTGTTTGTTTGTTTGTTTGTTTTGGACAGTTTATTTTCTTATGCCTAAGTTCAATTTGTTTTTCTCTCAGACTAGTTTTCAACATTTGGAAGTATATATGTTAAAATTTAATGCCGGGCCAGCAAGATGGCTCAGTGGGTATGGATGCCTTCTGCCAAGCCTGATCACCTCAGTTCAATCACTGGGACCCACACAGTGGAAAGAGAGAACTCCCACAAGTTGTCCTCTGACTTCCACATGTCTGCTGTGGTAGCTGTGTGCCACATACACGTAAATAAAATGTAATCAAAATTACAAAAAAATAAACACTGACAGCTATCCCTAAAAAGCTAGGGGAAGAGAACCAGTTCTTTTAAACTTTGATATGTCATTTGTACTCTTTGCAAATACTTTTATAATGTGCTTGCAAATTTCTTAAAATATTTTAT